ATTCTCTCAGGTTATTTGCTTCGACGATGGCTGGATTAGCAATTTATATACTTTTTTTTTTTTTTTTTTAATCGGTAAATATTTCGTTATTTGGGTTCCCTAATATGTTAGAATCTTGAATGCCATATGCGCCTTCATTTACAAGAATTCCAAATAAGTTTCCACGCCAAAGGAGTTATAAGTATGCTTCATCATTAGGAAATATAAATTAGCGTTTGGAAAGCTTGATGGCTAATTTTAAAAGTATGACTCATTTTTCATTTGGAACACAAAAAATGATATTGTATAGAGAAATGATAATCTTTCACAAACTATAACCATCGGCGTTGTCTTATATTCAGCTCCCGCTGTGTGAACAGATACTGCAGATTCTGGTGATCACTAAATAATCTGAAAGACTCTCCCAACAAATAATGCCTCCAAATGCATAATGCAAATACCACAGCTGCCAACTCCAAATCGTGTGTTGGATAATTAAGCTTATGAGGCTTAAGCTTACGAGATCCATACGAAATTGGTCGTTACTCCTGCATCAAAACACACCCAAGACCTTGCAAAGAAGCATCTGTGTAGACAAGATACTCTATCCCGCTCTGTGGAGTAGACAGAACCGGTGCAAAAGTCAACTTATTTTTTAGCTCATCAAAAGCTTTCTAACACCACAAATCGTACACCCTTCTTAGTCAAATGAGTGAGTAGTCCCGCTAGCTTTGAGAACCCCTGAATGAACCTACGATAATATCCTGTCAATTCGAGGAAACTCTGAAACTCGGTAGGTGAAGTAGGCTGTCCCCACTATACCACTGCTGAAACTTTGGCTGGATCTACTACTATTCCTCTTTCTGACACTACGTGACCAAGAAATTTCACTTCCCGTTGCCAAAATTCACACTTCTCGAACTTGGCATATAACTGGTGTTTACGAAGCGTCTGTAACACTGTGCGAAGATGTCTAGCATGATCGTCCTCCGAAATAGAATAAATCAAAATATAATCAATGAAAACGATGCCAAATTGATCTAAGTAAGCCCTGAAGACTATGTTCATTAAATCCACGAAGACTGATGGTGCGTTAGTCAATCCAAAAGGTATAACACGAAACTCATAAGAACCATATTTAGTGAGAAACGCTGTCCTAGGAACATCCTGCTCCCTAACCCGAAGTTAATGATATCCAGAACGCAGATCAATTTTAGAGAAATATGTAGCTCCCTTCAACTGATCAAAAAGATCGTCAATTCTGGGCAAATGATACTTGTTACGAATAGTAACATTGTTCAACTCCCTGTAATCTATACACAGGCGAAGTAAATCATCATTCTTTTTCACAAACAACACTGGTGTTCCCACGGTGAAGTACTCATACGAATAAAACCCTGGCTAAGTAATTGCTGAATCTGATCCCTCAGCTCTCGTATCTCCACTGGTGCCATCTTGTATGGTGCTCTAGCAATAGGCGTAGTACCTGGAGCTAAGTCAATCACAAAGTCTATCTCTCGACTAGGTGGCAACAGCCATAACTACGGGGAAAGGTTTGGGTGTAACAAAACCATGAGATGACGACGGCAACTCAATCAATCGTTCATTCAAAGTGTCGAACATATGAACGGGAGCTTCGCGGATCTGGCCGCCCTGAAGGTCAAGCTGCGAATAACTACACGCTAAGTATAATTCGTTACGCACCATAGCACAAGACACAGACCCTAAACGTGGAGAGGTTTCCTTGCCCAAATACTTCCTTCTATTAAACACTGCAAATCGACCTTCAGATTTTACTAGAGTTTTTCCCATCTCTAATTTGGAAATCGCAGCAAACAGAAGAATTTTTCAATTGGCAATGAAACAGGGGATGTATGACGAGAAGGTTTTGTGGAAGATGAAGAGGCTAATTGAGGTGTATAAAAGCTTAAATGGAATTAAGTTAATCTTCTTGTGCACAACAAAAGTCTTTTGTCATAAATGCTATGCTGGTGAAGATCATAAAGACCAGTTTTTCAGTTCATGGTCTTTTGCTTATGTTGTTTGAACCTTCCTGTTTGAGTTGCTGCAGCTTCTAGTTTAGAGTTTTCAATTATTGAATCTCATTGCAGATTAATAATACCAGAGGGCAGAATCTCAGTCTAAAGTGTTGTGCTCAGTATGCTCTATTACCATATTTGGAATATTTGGACGGAAAGGAATACTTCTCTTTATTATGAGTTTAGAGATCAAGTTGCTTCTGTTGAAAATATTATTGTTTGGGATGTTCTATATTTTCACAAGTTAAATTTACTTGATTTACTAGCTTTCCTTCATTATTAATGTTTTTAGTTTTTATTTTGTGTTGTTTGGCCTTTATTGAAAATGGACATTTTTCATTTCTGTTTGTAATTAAAGTGGCAGGCCTCCTTTTTTTATTTTTATTTTTCATTTTTTTATCTATACTTCTATTGTTTATTTTATAAAAGCATCCCATTCATATATATATATATCGCCGCATAAGCCAGAAATGGAGGGGAAAATACGTATTTCTTCAAATTTGTCTTCCTGGGAGTTCTGGTTCTCCATTGGGTTGGAGAAGCAGGTCATGTAAGATGCAGTGCTGAGAGTCTGGCCATTAGAAACAGAACAATCTAGGGGCAAAATTGGAAGGCTTCAATTCATCAAGGGGGTTATTATACACATCATGTGAGATGGGCAAAATAGGAAGAAAAAGGGTAAAATCAGAATTTCACATTTACTTTTTGTCAAAAAGTGGTTAGAGGGGCTTATTTGCACACTTTTTAAATTTTATAGACTAGCATGCACATTTTCAAAAAGTAAGGACTAGTTTTGCACGAACCCGAGTTTTTTTTGCACTTAACCCATACATATATATATATATATATATATATATATATATATATATTGAATGGTGGGAAAAAGAACACTTCATGGATGGAAATTCTATAACAGAATTTTCTTGAAATGATAGCTACACACACACACACACATATATGTATCAGACTCAAATTACTGTTGCAAAACTTGGCATTCCAAGCTTTTAATCTTGATGACTATTATATATTGGGACAAGCTGGTACACACAAGATGGTACTGAGTTTGACACTTTGTACATGCATGTATATTCTTCTAGTCTTTGAGAAAAAGTGGATTTGTTGTGCAAAAGTTTTAGCTCCATGAATTGAATGGGTGGATTTAAAATGATTTAGGTTGGTTGAATTTTAATAATTTAAATGTTGTATCTTGACATCAACTTCTTTCATAGTTAAAACTTATTTATTCTATGGACTTTACTATTTAAGATCAATCACGAAAAGTCAAACAAAAAATATAACAGTTCTATCTTTCAACCTCTCTCGAGTGACTTCAAAAATTATTTTACTAATTTTATATGTCATATATATATATATATAAAGCCAATATTATCTTTAATAATTAATTTTTTAAAAATATATTTCATGTTTAAGAGCTCCATCATGACGTTGTAATTATTCCGGTTGTTTGTCTTCTTGATGTAACTTTGGAGTATATTTTACAATAAAATAAATATTTCATTTATTATTTAAACAAGGGCAAAAATGGTATTATATTATTTTTATTCAAAATCTCATTTTAAATCCAATTTGTTCCAAACATATAAATATAATTTCATTATAATTCCAATTCAGATACCTTTTCTAAATCCCAAGTAAATTGACTCCAAAGCGTAGGGTTCGTGCTTCTCAGTCAGATTGTATTGTTTGTTAATGAACGACGATTTCGAAACAAACTTTTAATCAATAGAACAGATGCTCCGTAAGACGAGCATGGTCTAATCCAATTCTCTCGGGTTATTTGCTTCGACCATGGCTGGATTAGCAATTTATATACTTTATTTTTTTTTAACCGGTAAATATTTCGTTATTCGGGTGCCCTTATTATATGTTAGGATATTTAACGCCACATGCACCATCATTTACAAGAATTCCAAATAAGTATGCTCCTTCATCATTAAGAAATATAATTTAGCATTAGGAAAGTTTGATGGCAAATTTTAAAACGTATGACTCATCTTTCATTTGGAACACAAAAATGATTGTAGTTGCATTAATGATGCTACACAACTATAAGGCAAGAAATAATAGTTGATGTTGAATTTTGACAAACATAATGACGATGAATTTAATGTAAGTGGCTGGAATCACCGTATCAATAATGGAAGAAACTAAATAAATTGTTTGTTACTATTTCACTTGGTTCGAATTAGTATAGAAATTATTTTCAATTTTCTTTTACTGTTAGGAACGCCCCTTTATCAAAATATCCATGATGCACGTTAGGACGAAATCTGACTGAAAAGCTTGCCGAGATATTCTACCATACTGTAGTCACTCAGGAATTCGGCTATATCTTACTCGGTGATAGATTGTCTTTCTTAATCGTCGGCTTTGCTCATCTCCTTTCTTATCTTTTCGAGCTCTTCGGGTGCATAGCATCCGCAAGACCTTGTGAACCTTCACAGAGTTCAGCAATAGTCTGGTCCATGGTGGTGATTTCTTTTCCAGAATTGGCTCCCGGGCACTTGATGAGAATCCCTGATTTGTAATTGTTTTGCTATGACCGAAGCTAATTTCTCAATGGCGGGTAACTCTGGCTTTTCTAGAGCTTGTAAAGTGCATTGATTGTTAAAATGAAAGCTTGGTGCTGTAAACATCAGAGAGGTTGGCACTTCAAAATCAGTATGCACAGATGTGAAATGTTCAAGCACTCGTTATCCTTCAAAATCTGATTTAGCTTAAATTGTATAATGGTGTTGGCATGATAGAGCCTTCTTGTTAATGTTTACGGGTTAACTAATTTTTTCCTTCTTGACAAATCTTTGGTTAAGTAGGAGGGAATAACTGATGACTGATTCCAAGATCGTAAGCGATCCCCGCACCATTCCTGTCACCCTTCATTTCATGCTATAAAAATTAAGCAAGTAATGTATTATCTACCTAAACCCATGCAATAAAAAGCCCTAAAAGATACATGCATCATTGCATGATAAATATAGACCACCTTTCATTCAAATTTCCATTACCAGAAAGACACAGATCCAACACTTGAGATTACGAAACAAGGAAAATAAGTGTTCATAACATTAAAGTTTACCAAGCTCCACAAAATACATGCACAATCCCAAATTTGCTCGTCAAACAAAATAAATTCATATCATATTATACTCTTATCCATTCACCCAACCTCCCAAGGGATCTTGCTCCCAACCTTCAAAGGGATCTGCCTTCCGATCCCATCCTTCAAAGTTCAAAGGGATCTTGCTCCCAATCTCTGCCTCTGAAAACAAACCACCGAAAAACTGGATAACAATATGATAAACAAGATAAAATGCTGATTAATTAAACAACATAAATATTTTGGAAGTCTGACAGATTTCAATTGGCATTTGGCAGTTTGATTTAACAAATAAAATCACAAGGACCACAAAATTTTCAAGGACAAACCAAAGAACCACAAACTTTGAACCCCCTTTTTTTTTCCTGGTAAAGGATTAGCTTTCATGTAGATCAGTATGTACAAACAAAGCACAAAAGCCATCAAGCAAATACTTCACGACCAAGGCCAAGCAACCAAAGCAAATGACCAAGGCTAGCTACAAGCAGCCATAATTCTGATGCATGGACTGAAAACAACATTGTAACCTCATTGTAAGGCTTGTTAGGTTCAACTGCAAAACCCACAAATTATTCTTGCCTTAATGAATCCGCAAGTTCATATTCTTGACTTCAGCAAAACTGAGTGAATTTTTCAACCTTTCGGGTTCTATGGACTTATTGGTGTTGGGGCATAGGGAAAGCACAAGGAACGCCGAGATCCACCGAAAGAGTAATAATGGAACAATCATGCACACAAAACACAAGATATACGTGGTTCACCCTAACTATAGGTTACGTCCACGGATCAGGAGATATTCAGACCGGAACAGGTACACAAACTCCTGCTCGAGGGTATAGAGGCAAATACCCGAGCCTTACACCGTGTGGTTTTAGCTCGCGCTCTCCCCTTGCCCTAGTCAAAGAGGCCAGCCCTTAATTCCAATCAGAGAGGCCTTTAAAGGCCAGGCCCGGCACACTCTCTGTCATCAGTGTTCGCTCTACCAATACCTTAAACTCTCTCTACCCATCAACTCACTCCCCCGTGGGGCTGCCCTCCACAAGCTACATCTCTCTAAACTCATAGCTAGGGATGGGGCTGGGTACCCCGGCCCCATCCCCGCCCACAAATCCCCCAAAAGCTAGTCCCCCGCCCCCGTTTAAGTTTCCCTGCCCCAAGTAGTATTTAGGTGCTACCCAAGAAAGACACAACTTCCTCAATAAACCAATTATCCAAATGGAAATCTCCACGGCCACATACCTAATTATCACCTTATACATCATCTCTTAATGGATTAAAAAATTAAAAAAACAACAAAATAATAAAAACAAAGAAAAAAACAGAGTCTGTCGCAACCAACGGCGTAACAACTGGCTCAGGCAACTAATTATACTCTGTAATTCGTCGCTCACAAAATGGTTTGAATGATTTTTCCTATCTTCCTAATAAAATGAAGAACGAGGACGTAAAAGAAATGTTGAAAGCTACTCAATGCATCAGACTTGCTTAGTCGAATGATGATCAAAAGAATGCAATTAGAATTGTTGGACAACAAAATTTTATTTATTTATATATATATAGCATGCAGGAATATTACATCCTCTAATGAATAGAGAAGCACTAGTACAGCTGATGACACAATTTATTAAGGACAGGGGAGATATAGGCAGATAATTAAGCTAATCATGGAAATTACTTGACAAAGCAAGAATCGAGGATCAAGTCACTGCCGAGGCCACTGATGTCGAGTGCGCAGATTGTCGAAGAGAGGGTTGTTAGACACTGCATATCTCCAGAAACTTCAACTACAGATACGGCCACGAATTGTTGATCACCAATACAACCCGAGTCCCCAGTCCTGATGATACAGAATCTCTTCCCAATCCCCATATATGCACAGCTGAACGAGAAATGGATGGAATCAGACCAATCCACAGGCGGGGCTGCAAACTTGGGAAATCCAACTAGCTGAGGAGGAGATATCTGTAGACCTTCTTTGTCAGAACAGCAATCAACCCGGTATGCATACAAGCCTCTATTGTATGAATAAATCACATCTTCAACAAACTCAGCCTTCCCAGAGAATGGATAGCGTATATTTTTTTGGCCGTTTGACAAGATCATCTTCTCCCACTTGTTTTTGGAATTAGAACCACCAGAGAAATTCCAGTAGAAAAACTCATTACGAGAACTTCTACCATTGAAATCTGCAACCGAAATGAGGAGAAAATTCTTTACAACCGCATAACCATTAACAAAGGTACAGCTCGGTAAATTAAACTGTGGAGGTAATTGTGATTCCCATTCGAACTCTCCAATGTTAAAGCTCTCAAGTGCTGGCGCTGGGACATTCAATGAAGTTGCCATAGATTGTCCATAAACATAAAGTTGGAGAGTTCCAACAGCCATAACTACGGGGAAAGGTTTGGGTGTAACAAAACCATGAGATGACGACGGCAACTCAATCAGTCGGTCATGCAAAGTGTTGAACACATGAACAGGAGCTTGGCGGACCTGGCCGCCCTGAAGGTCAAGCTGCGAATAACTACACGCTAAGTATAATTCGTTACCCACCATAGCACAAGACACAGACCCTAAACGTGGAGAGGTTTCCTTGCCCAAATACTTCCTTCTATTAAACACTTCAAATCGACCTTCAGATTTTACTAGAGTTTTTCCCATCTCTAATTTGAAAATCGCAGCAGAGTAAACAGAAGAATTTCTCAATTGGCAAACTATGAAAACTACTGGCCTTACCTTCTGCTCACACGTGGGCTGAATTGATGATCCCGCCACCGTCTTCAATCTTCTCTGCAATCCCTTCTCTGGATACTGGAAGAATACCTCCCTCAGATTCTCCTGCTGCCGGGGGAGGGATTCCTCCTCCGACACCGTATACGACGTCTTCTTATCCATGAAAATCCTCGACAGCCTCGCCAACATCTTCTTTCCCCGCACTCGTGGTTTCTTGTTCTTCAGCACCATCATCTTCTTTCCCGGCACTCGTGGTTTCTCCTTCTTCTCCAACGCTCCATCCTCCAAATTATGATCTGCTATCCTCTCCTCCATCATCATCTTCTTTCCCGGCACTAGGGGTTTCTCCTTCTTCTCCACCATCATTCCCGTCTCCATCCTTTGAAAACTCCTCGGTCGTGCTTCTTAGGGTTCGTGCTTCTTAGGGTTTGTTGAGAAGATGATTATAATTCCGTACATATAAATAGAATTTCATTATGATTCCAATTCCTATTCCAATTCAGATACCTTTTCCAAATCCTGAGTAAATTGAGATGAAAGTAAGATGGGCCTTTAAAGGTAAAACAGCTAATTGGGCCTGCGAATGATCTGTGGCATGTGGACTAAACTTTTGTTTAGCTAGACAGAAATTAATGGTGGAAAGTAAAATGTAAAATGTAAAATGTAAAAAGTAAAATATATATATATATATATATATATATATATATATATATAAAGTGAATGAAAAATAAATAAATTTTTCAAGAAAATTTTGAAAACTAACGAGTTCAAATGTCATGAAACTTTTCATAAAACAAATAATATTATTGTAAGTTTTAAAAACTTTCTCCAGATGTGAAATTTTTTTTCTGCGTGTATGTGTGTTTTTTTTTTTTTATAAGAAAATTTAATGAAAAAGTTAAAAAGTCATTTTCTCTCAAACTTCTAAAGTATTCAAAAAATAAAAAAATTCACTTCTTTTCTTTTCTTACTATTTTCATATAATAAAAAGAGCGTTAATAAACGATTTCGAAACAAAATTTTAATCAGTAGAGTTCTGATTTTGAATTTGGTTTATTTGATTAAGAATTCTAAACCTTAGACCTAGTAAAAGCAGATGCTCCGTAAGAAGAGCAAGGTCTAATCCAATTCTCTCAGGTTATTTGCTTCGACGATGGCTGGATTAGCAATTTATATACTTTTTTTTTTTTTTTTTTAATCGGTAAATATTTCGTTATTTGGGTTCCCTAATATGTTAGAATCTTGAATGCCATATGCGCCTTCATTTACAAGAATTCCAAATAAGTTTCCACGCCAAAGGAGTTATAAGTATGCTTCATCATTAGGAAATATAAATTAGCGTTTGGAAAGCTTGATGGCTAATTTTAAAAGTATGACTCATTTTTCATTTGGAACACAAAAAATGATATTGTATAGAGAAATGATAATCTTTCACAAACTATAACCATCGGCGTTGTCTTATATTCAGCTCCCGCTGTGTGAACAGATACTGCAGATTCTGGTGATCACTAAATAATCTGAAAGACTCTCCCAACAAATAATGCCTCCAAATGCATAATGCAAATACCACAGCTGCCAACTCCAAATCGTGTGTTGGATAATTAAGCTTATGAGGCTTAAGCTTACGAGATCCATACGAAATTGGTCGTTACTCCTGCATCAAAACACACCCAAGACCTTGCAAAGAAGCATCTGTGTAGACAAGATACTCTATCCCGCTCTGTGGAGTAGACAGAACCGGTGCAAAAGTCAACTTATTTTTTAGCTCATCAAAAGCTTTCTAACACCACAAATCGTACACCCTTCTTAGTCAAATGAGTGAGTAGTCCCGCTAGCTTTGAGAACCCCTGAATGAACCTACGATAATATCCTGTCAATTCGAGGAAACTCTGAAACTCGGTAGGTGAAGTAGGCTGTCCCCACTATACCACTGCTGAAACTTTGGCTGGATCTACTACTATTCCTCTTTCTGACACTACGTGACCAAGAAATTTCACTTCCCGTTGCCAAAATTCACACTTCTCGAACTTGGCATATAACTGGTGTTTACGAAGCGTCTGTAACACTGTGCGAAGATGTCTAGCATGATCGTCCTCCGAAATAGAATAAATCAAAATATAATCAATGAAAACGATGCCAAATTGATCTAAGTAAGCCCTGAAGACTATGTTCATTAAATCCACGAAGACTGATGGTGCGTTAGTCAATCCAAAAGGTATAACACGAAACTCATAAGAACCATATTTAGTGAGAAACGCTGTCCTAGGAACATCCTGCTCCCTAACCCGAAGTTAATGATATCCAGAACGCAGATCAATTTTAGAGAAATATGTAGCTCCCTTCAACTGATCAAAAAGATCGTCAATTCTGGGCAAATGATACTTGTTACGAATAGTAACATTGTTCAACTCCCTGTAATCTATACACAGGCGAAGTAAATCATCATTCTTTTTCACAAACAACACTGGTGTTCCCACGGTGAAGTACTCATACGAATAAAACCCTGGCTAAGTAATTGCTGAATCTGATCCCTCAGCTCTCGTATCTCCACTGGTGCCATCTTGTATGGTGCTCTAGCAATAGGCGTAGTACCTGGAGCTAAGTCAATCACAAAGTCTATCTCTCGACTAGGTGGCAACAGCCATAACTACGGGGAAAGGTTTGGGTGTAACAAAACCATGAGATGACGACGGCAACTCAATCAATCGTTCATTCAAAGTGTCGAACATATGAACGGGAGCTTCGCGGATCTGGCCGCCCTGAAGGTCAAGCTGCGAATAACTACACGCTAAGTATAATTCGTTACGCACCATAGCACAAGACACAGACCCTAAACGTGGAGAGGTTTCCTTGCCCAAATACTTCCTTCTATTAAACACTGCAAATCGACCTTCAGATTTTACTAGAGTTTTTCCCATCTCTAATTTGGAAATCGCAGCAAACAGAAGAATTTTTCAATTGGCAATGAAACAGGGGATGTATGACGAGAAGGTTTTGTGGAAGATGAAGAGGCTAATTGAGGTGTATAAAAGCTTAAATGGAATTAAGTTAATCTTCTTGTGCACAACAAAAGTCTTTTGTCATAAATGCTATGCTGGTGAAGATCATAAAGACCAGTTTTTCAGTTCATGGTCTTTTGCTTATGTTGTTTGAACCTTCCTGTTTGAGTTGCTGCAGCTTCTAGTTTAGAGTTTTCAATTATTGAATCTCATTGCAGATTAATAATACCAGAGGGCAGAATCTCAGTCTAAAGTGTTGTGCTCAGTATGCTCTATTACCATATTTGGAATATTTGGACGGAAAGGAATACTTCTCTTTATTATGAGTTTAGAGATCAAGTTGCTTCTGTTGAAAATATTATTGTTTGGGATGTTCTATATTTTCACAAGTTAAATTTACTTGATTTACTAGCTTTCCTTCATTATTAATGTTTTTAGTTTTTATTTTGTGTTGTTTGGCCTTTATTGAAAATGGACATTTTTCATTTCTGTTTGTAATTAAAGTGGCAGGCCTCCTTTTTTTATTTTTATTTTTCATTTTTTTTATCTATACTTCTATTGTTTATTTTATAAAAGCATCCCATTCATATATATATATATCGCCGCATAAGCCAGAAATGGAGGGGAAAATACGTATTTCTTCAAATTTGTCTTCCTGGGAGTTCTGGTTCTCCATTGGGTTGGAGAAGCAGGTCATGTAAGATGCAGTGCTGAGAGTCTGGCCATTAGAAACAGAACAATCTAGGGGCAAAATTGGAAGGCTTCAATTCATCAAGGGGGTTATTATACACATCATGTGAGATGGGCAAAATAGGAAGAAAAAGGGTAAAATCAGAATTTCACATTTACTTTTTGTCAAAAAGTGGTTAGAGGGGCTTATTTGCACACTTTTTAAATTTTATAGACTAGCATGCACATTTTCAAAAAGTAAGGACTAGTTTTGCACGAACCCGAGTTTTTTTTGCACTTAACCCATACATATATATATATATATATATATATATATATATATATATATTGAATGGTGGGAAAAAGAACACTTCATGGATGGAAATTCTATAACAGAATTTTCTTGAAATGATAGCTACACACACACACACATATATGTATCAGACTCAAATTACTGTTGCAAAACTTGGCATTCCAAGCTTTTAATCTTGATGACTATTATATATTGGGACAAGCTGGTACACACAAGATGGTACTGAGTTTGACACTTTGTACATGCATGTATATTCTTCTAGTCTTTGAGAAAAAGTGGATTTGTTGTGCAAAAGTTTTAGCTCCATGAATTGAATGGGTGGATTTAAAATGATTTAGGTTGGTTGAATTTTAATAATTTAAATGTTGTATCTTGACATCAACTTCTTTCATAGTTAAAACTTATTTATTCTATGGACTTTACTATTTAAGATCAATCACGAAAAGTCAAACAAAAAATATAACAGTTCTATCTTTCAACCTCTCTCGAGTGACTTCAAAAATTATTTTACTAATTTTATATGTCATATATATATATATATAAAGCCAATATTATCTTTAATAATTAATTTTTTAAAAATATATTTCATGTTTAAGAGCTCCATCATGACGTTGTAATTATTCCGGTTGTTTGTCTTCTTGATGTAACTTTGGAGTATATTTTACAATAAAATAAATATTTCATTTATTATTTAAACAAGGGCAAAAATGGTATTATATTATTTTTATTCAAAATCTCATTTTAAATCCAATTTGTTCCAAACATATAAATATAATTTCATTATAATTCCAATTCAGATACCTTTTCTAAATCCCAAGTAAATTGACTCCAAAGCGTAGGGTTCGTGCTTCTCAGTCAGATTGTATTGTTTGTTAATGAACGACGATTTCGAAACAAACTTTTAATCAATAGAACAGATGCTCCGTAAGACGAGCATGGTCTAATCCAATTCTCTCGGGTTATTTGCTTCGACCATGGCTGGATTAGCAATTTATATACTTTATTTTTTTTTAACCGGTAAATATTTCGTTATTCGGGTGCCCTTATTATATGTTAGGATATTTAACGCCACATGCACCATCATTTACAAGAATTCCAAATAAGTATGCTCCTTCATCATTAAGAAATATAATTTAGCATTAGGAAAGTTTGATGGCAAATTTTAAAACGTATGACTCATCTTTCATTTGGAACACAAAAATGATTGTAGTTGCATTAATGATGCTACACAACTATAAGGCAAGAAATAATAGTTGATGTTGAATTTTGACAAACATAATGACGATGAATTTAATGTAAGTGGCTGGAATCACCGTATCAATAATGGAAGAAACTAAATAAATTGTTTGTTACTATTTCACTTGGTTCGAATTAGTATAGAAATTATTTTCAATTTTCTTTTACTGTTAGGAACGCCCCTTTATCAAAATATCCATGATGCACGTTAGGACGAAATCTGACTGAAAAGCTTGCCGAGATATTCTACCATACTGTAGTCACTCAGGAATTCGGCTATATC